GTCTTTATCTCTTTATTTCCGAAGGACAGCTTTGATGATTAAAGTATTCTTGGTTAGTATGTTTTTTCTTTGTAATATATCATTTCACTCCCCTGATCTGTAAAGTTTCTGCTGAGAAATCTGCCGATAGCTTTATGGGGATCCCCTTTCATGAGACAAGCTGCTGCGGTGGCTTTTTCTCCTCGTGTTTTTCTTCCTCCACCTGCTTTCTATTAAGATTCTTTTTGATTTTTGACAGTTTTATTGTATGTCTTGGGAAAGATCGCTTTGAGATGAATTTGTTTGGGCACCTGTCAGCTTATGAATTTGGATGTCCAAATCTTTCCCCAGACTTGGGAAAGTTCTCAGCAATTCTTTAAATAAGCTTTCCTCCCTCCCTCTCTTTTCCCTATGGAACATCAATAATTTGCAAATTGTTTCTCTTTATTGTTTCCCAGAAATCACCTAGGCTTTTCCCACTCTTTTTAATTCTTTTTTCTTTGTTCTTTGGCTGAATTATTTCAAAGTTCCTGTCTTATACTCCATGGATTCTTTTATCTGATTGATCCTTGCTGCTGTTGGTACTCTCTTTTGCATTTTTTATTTCATTCATTGTATTCCTTAGCTCCAGAATTTCTATTTATTTCTCTGTTATATCTCTTTGTTAAACTTCTCATTTGTGGATTACTTTTATTGATTTTGTTGAATTATCTTTCTGTTTTCTTATAGTTCACTGAGTTTCCTTAAAACAGCTCTTTTGAATTCTTTATTGAATAAATTTCAAAATTCCATGTCTTTGGAGTTGGTTACTGGAAAATAATTTTGAGACTTTGATGGTATTGCATTTCTTTGAAATTTTATATTCCTTGAATGCTTTGCTTTCTTTGCATTTAAAGTAGCAGAAACCTCCATCAGTCTTGATTGATTGATGCAGGAGAGAAGCAGCTGTCAGTTCTGCTGGAGATTTTGAGGTTTTCTCAGATCTCTATGGGCATGCCTGCTCCATACTTGTCATTCCTTGTTGTGGCATAATACTTAAGCTTGTATGCTTTTTCTTTGATTCAGGATAGTACCAGGTCAAGTGCTGAAAGCCTTTTCTTTTTTTCTTTTTGTTTTTTGCTTCCCCAAAGGTGGTGCTATGTGCTGAAGTTTATGGTCTCTCACAGGCCTTCTTATTCAGGTCAGCTTTTTGTGAATGCTCATTAGCTTTTTGCTCAGGCTCACTCTCCTCATTGTCAGGAGCATTCACAGGGAGCCAGCTATGAGATGGGTGTGTGTGGGAGGTCAGGATGTGGGGTGCTGGGTGTGCCTTTGGACCAGTTGTGGGGAAGCAAAAGCAAGGGGTACAAGTGGCTCTCCTTCTGACTTTCTGATAGAGTCCATGATGTGCTTATTGGGATCCACATTGTTCTGATATGTTTTGTTTCAAGCTCTGACAGCTCTTCTCCCAGGGACTTATTATCCCTACTCTTGGAGCTCAGGACTCAGTATTCTGGATGGAACAAGAGAGAGATGGCCCTATTTGGCAGTGTGCCTCATAGCTGGAGAAACCTGGTGCTTTCTCACACACACTCATTTTGTTTCATGGGAAAAATCATTGTTTACAAGGGCTCTCTTGGCACTAAGCTATGCTGATTTGGAGGTAAGGGTAACATGGGTAAAGTCAAACTGTTCTTTTTACCCTTTCCCATGATTCTCATTTCAGATTTTTTTCTTCATCCTAAAGGTGGGCTGGGACTTCTTCCTAGACTCATGGACTTTCACAAAAGTTCTTTTTTCTATAGTAGATTGTCTAAATTAGAGGGTCCCAAACACTGACTCCAAGACAGTAGAGTTGCTGTGTGCGTCATTTTAGAGTCCATCTCTAGGATCAAACCCTGTGTGTATGGTATTCAGTGCATGGGTGGACTAGATTCCTCTTTGGTTCCTGTGTGGCAGAACTAGAGCCAAGTGGAGCTATAACCAAGTCCCTCTGATATGAAACTATTTTTGAAAGCCTGCTAGAGTTAGCTGCATAGGTGGCCTGTCTTTTTAAAATGGCTCGCCTCAGTGTTGGACTGACTGGGTTTCACAGTCCCCTTTCTGGATCCCATAGCTCCCACAAAGGCAACTTTGTCCATGGATGCATGACAAATTGTTGTTGTGGGTGGATACCATGAGGGATATCCATTCCACTGGAGAGGAAGGTACTCTCCATTTGACTATTTTGGTGACATCATTTTTTTTTTTTTTAATAGAGGCATGTTTTATTTATTTATTTATTTGTTTGTTTGTTTTGTTTATACATGCACTGGATACAGTCAGAAGCACAGGAGGGTGAGAGAATTCACCAGAGCCAGAGTGGGGAGCAGAGCAGGCAGAAGGACCGAAGTACATTGCTGAGGGGAGCAGCGGGCAGCAGGAGAGGTCTGCGCGCCATGTGGGACCTTCCTCCGGTGGCCGGGGAGCAGCCAGGGATCGAACCGGCGCCACAGAGGCCTCGGGCAGCTTCGCAACCCAGCGCTCAACCTCTGCGCCACCGGGGAGGCCCACATCATTTTTTTTTTTTTTTTTTTTTGAAAACAAATCTAAGCCTTCCTGGTGGCGCAAGGGGTTAAGCACCTCACTGTGAAGCAATCCACAGCCTCTTCAGCACAAGTTTGATTCCCTGGCTGGTCAGGGAGCAACCCACATGGCGCAGCAGATCTCTCCTGACTCGCCCGCTGCTCCCCTCAGCAGTGTATTTCAGTCAGTCTGCCTGTTCTGCTCCCCACTCTGTCTCTGGTGAATTCTCTCAAACCCCACATCTCTGGCCTGCACCCCAGCTCTTGTATGAATAAATAAATAAATCTTAAAAAAAAAAAACCAAAAAACAAATCTTTAGAGTACACTGTTATTTATAAAAAAAAAAAAAAAAAGTTTGGATTTTCATTAGGTTTGCATAAATATATAGTTAGGAAGAAGAGACATCTTGACAGTACTAAGTCTTTCTATCCATAACCATAGAAAAATGTCTTTTTGAAATTCATTTAGTTCTTTTATTTCTTTCATCAGTTTTGTAGGGTTTTTTTTTTTTTTTTAAAGATTTATTTATTTATGCATACAAGAGCTGGGGTATAGACCAGAGGTGCGGGGGGTAAGAGGATTCACCAGAGACAGAGTGGGAAACAACAGGCAGATCTACTGAAATACACTACTGAGGGGAGCAGTGGGCGAGTCAGGAGAGGTCTGCTGCACCATGTGGGTTCCTCCCTGGCCCAGAATCGAACTCATGCTGTAGTGGCTGCAGATTGCCTCATAGGCAGTGTCTTAACCCCTTGTGCCACCAGGGAGGCCCAGTTTTGTAGTTTTCTTTGTGTAGATCTTGTACATATTTTGTTAGATGGATTTTTTTTAAATGCTATCATATCCCTTAATTAGCATTTAGATTTCTAATAAATTAGTTAGGGTTCAATATGTGGTAATTTATTTGTAAAATGTTTTTCTTTCTATTGTTTCTTTCTTTTTCTAGTTTATAGCTGATGTGTAAACAGAATATCCTTCTCTTCACATCTCAGATTTTTGAGAATATTTATAAAACTGACTCTACAGGTCACAGTTCTTTTGGAATAACTAATTTAGAAAATTCACTTAGTTTTGATAGATACTTTAATTATTTGTATATTCTTATAAGTCTTATAATAGATTAAGAAATAAGGGTAATGGTAGTTTGTCAGATAGTGTCATCAGAGGTCCTAATTTTTGGTTGGGAAAATGTGGTTGATGAATTGCTAGAATGGAGACCTGCCAGGACTGATTCTGTGAGACTTTATTGTAAGCATGTATAAAGGGGGAAGTAGGCAGAATTAGTGGTAGGACAAGATACTTTTGTTGGTATTTATAGACCCTTGATTTTTTTCTTCTTTAAGCAGAAGTCCTTTGTTTTTCTCAAGTCAATTAATTAAGGGTGGTGCTGATTGTGACAGTATTAACTACCACCTTACCTAGTAGTTTATAAAACGATGCATTATATTCCTTAAGTAATTTCCTACTAGAATCACATTTATCTGGGTATGAATTAAAGATGTAAATTTTTTACTTTATTGAGGAATGACTCAAAAGTGTTAAATGTTTAATTTTTGTTTATTTGTAGAACTCCTGTATAGCGTGTTATATCATACATTCAACATTCTCAGCAATCCTGAGAAAGTCTACTTTCTCACTCTTATCTTTTTGTTAATTAAAATTGACATGGCACACAAATTACTTAATGATGACTTGGAGTGGCTTGTCTTAGAGGAAATACTTTAGTAATTTCACTTTGACACAGTAGAACGATGTTCACTTACAGAATTATAGACTGGGAGGCATTGTGCAATATTGGAAGATGGACCTTAGAGACATAGTGACTATTTCTTCTTAGCATTGCTCTTTTGGACAAATTACTTAACCTCACCAAATTTCTTTTTCCTCATTGTTAATTAGTGTAAGTGGTACATTTAACATAAAAGATACCTTTCTTGTGTGTGGTACAGAGTACATATTACAGAAGAGTTCCTCTCTCCATTCTTTTTTTTAAAGATTTATTTATTTATTTATTTATACAAGCACGGGTACAGTCAGAAGCGCTGGAGGGTGAGAGAATTCACCAGAGCCAGAGCAGGGAGCAGAACAGGCAGAAGGACTGAAGCACACTGCTGAGGGGAGCAGCAGTCAGCAGGAGAAGTCTGTGCGCCATGTGGGACCCTCGCCCTATGGCTGGGGATCGAACTGGCGCTGCAGAGGCTGTGGGCTGCTGCGCCACCAGGGAGGCCCCCTCTCTCCATTCTTGTGTCTTCTCTGCATTTTCTCAGCCTACTTTACAAAACTGGCTGAAGTGATCTTTCTGAAGTCAAAAAACTTGTGCTGCAGGTAGCTTCACAGTGCTGCTTAATCACCTTGCCCCACCAAGGAGGCCCCAGTTGCGTTTTTCTGTTAAAAAATACAATTATAACTTTTATACAGAATATATATGTTTAATGAATGTTACTCTAGTAAATATTGGTTCTTTTTTCTTATTTCAGGCTACAGATAAGAGAAAAGCTTTAGAAGAGACCAAAGCCTACACAACCCAATCCCTAGCTAGTGTTGCATATCAAATAAATGCATTGGCCAACAATGTACTCCAGTTGCTGGACATCCAGGCCTCTCAGCTCCGGAGAATGGAGTCATCCATCAATCATATCTCACAGGTAACAGCTTGTAAAAGCCTTTAAATTCACATGATCAGTTTTCCGTAGTGGCTGTACCAATTTACCGACCCTCTAGCAGTATACAAGGTTTTTGTTTTTGTTCACATTTGTGTCAATATTTATTACTTTTTACCTTTTGGTAGTAACTATTTTAATGGGTGTGAGGTGAAATCTCGTAGTTTTGTTTTGTGTTTCCTTAATGATAAATGATGTGGAACATCTTTGCATGTGTCTGTTGGCCATCTGTAGTCTTTGGTGAAATGTCTGTTTAGAATCTATGCCTGTTTTTTTTCATCAGGTTGCATATTTTTTTTGGGTTGTATGAATTGTTTATATGTTTTGGATATTAACCCCTTGTCTGATATATGTTTTGTAAATATCTTTTACTATTCAGGAGACTGTCCCACCCCTCCCTTCATAAGACAGAATTTGTATGTTTTCTGAGTATAGAAGAACCTCTGGGAATTTTAACATCAGACCTTGTTTTCTTATTAAGGTTCTGTTTGTCAGGTAGATCAAATTGGGCTCTCCATCTATATCTAGCACCACAGTTACCCCAGAATGATCTCATTTGAGGATTATTTGTGCCTAGATGTAGTTCCAGAACTAGTGTGTGTGTGTGTTTTGTTTTTACAAGTATTTTTGGTTTATGAAGAAAGAAAAGGAGGGTGAATCTCGAATTCATGTATAAGTTGGTGAATATTGTCCGTGTATGGCTTATATTGAGTCTAAGATTTTCCTTTTTATTTTTTGCTTTTTCATCTTCTGTTTTTTATTTTTTTAAATGACAGCTGATGTAGTATTTTTGTTGGTTTTTAAAATGTCTTTATTGGCCATAAAAATTGGTAAGGACACTTCTTCCTCCCTTCCTCTCTTCCTTTTATATCTTTCTTTCAGTCTGACTGTCTTGTCTCTTTGCGTCCCCTTCCCTATTCTCTTCTTAAAAGAATTTACTAATCTGTGAAATTCACAGTTCAAGAATTTAAGTTTCATATCCCAATCACCTTTTTCTAATATGCATACACACCAATTCACCATTCCATCTGTGAATAAATAAGAATGAAAGGGACTTGAACCATCAACCTTGCAGGACCAGAAAAAAGATTCTATTTTAGGCCGATGGAAACAGGGCAGAGCTATGCGTTTAACTTCTGTTCCAGCATAAACCAGCCAAGTAATTGGGAGTACCCGAAGAACAAATGCTAGCAGGAAGAAACTAAGGAGGAAGTGGAGTTAGTCTACACTTGGAAAAAGGAAACAGCCCTGGGGCTTGCTGTTTTATAGTCAGTTGGTATCTTGCTAGGCAGCTAAAATTGCTTACAAGTCTATGCTATAAGGCTAAAAGAAATGAACAAAGATCAGCTGCTACCTATTTTACAGGTGATAGACTAAGCTTACTGCAACATGTTTTCAGGAAACTATAACAGAAGTAGGAGTTCTACAAGGTATCGTATACCAGGTGTAGGACATCTATCATTAATAGACATATGGAAAATAATAGAAAGAGGTAGTAAGAGGTCTCTATTCAGTTTTATTTTCTATATCCCATGGAAGTGTTTTATTGATAGATCTGAAGTTGTACCCAGAAGCCTGTAAGAACAATTGGACAAATGTTCTTAGTTTTTAGCTTCAGCAGAGCAAGAAAATTCTCTTAGGGTGGAGTTAGGGAGGATGAGGTGAAGGTGAAGGTTGAGTGAACTATGACAGTCATATCATAGCATCCACTGAAGTTACCTAAAGTGCTTTTTTTTTTTTTTAAAGCACTTCAAACACATACTGTATAGGTATCCCACAGCCCAGCTGTGATAGGGGCGTGGGTGGAGGCTTCCCAACACCAACAAGCAATTTTTAGACACCAGCAGGGTGTCCAAGAATTCAACTCAAATTCTGAGACTCCCCAGAGATAGCATCGCATTCCACTATTATGGGCTCAATCTCCCAGGACTGCCCTCCACATCAGACACCCTCCATAAAGCCAGCAGTATAAGCAAAGGTTTCTAGGACCCTCCTCAGGTTTGACTGATACAGAACTCATTTACTCCATCATGAATTTAATACAAACAATATAACACAGTCTGGTGGGCATGTAATTTGAGTGGCATTTGAAGGAAGCCTGTGCATTTATCATGTTACATGGAATGCAAATACATTCCAGGTAATGACATTAAACAAACACATGAATGTTTTGTTCAGGGTGACTAGGATGTAGGATAAAATGTTGGGAATGATGAATATACCTTTACATTAAGTTTGGGAAAATAAATCTGAAGTTCAAAATTACAATTAGTTATCCTTTTATTTGCTTTCGTTGATGAGGGTGAATGACTCTTGTATTGTGTTCATGGAGTTGATGGTATCCCTTGCTTTTTCTCTGCCTCTCATATTTGCTTGGTACTGGAACTCTATGGTGCCTGAATCATAGCAACATGTTTAGCAGAAAAAGAAATTTATGTCTTCTCAAACCATCCTCAGATGCAGACTGAAGTAATTAAGCCTGAAGCAAAGTAAAGACAGTGTCTTTTGGAAATTGGGCACTCTGTTCTTTGCTTTCTAGGTAAACAGCTGGCTATCCTGCCTCTGTTCATTAAGCTTTTTGGAGAAATGAAACACCCAAGCCCACATTTTGCCTCAAATCACCTATTTGTGGTGATTTGAGGACGCAAACCTCCAATTCCCTCCCCGCTGATCACAAATTTTGGGCTAAACTGTTTTTTAGTTTTGCCCTAACTAGTAGTGTAGGACAGGACTGTTCTCATTTAGTGTAAGGACTACCTCTTTTTAAAAAAGATTTATTTTTATTTAAGTATACAAGAACTGGGGTGTAGGCTAGAGGTGGGTGGGGGGATTTACCGGAGACACTGTGGGGAGCAGAACAGGTGGATCCACTGAGACACTGCTGAAAGGAGCAATGGGCAAGACAGGAGAGGTCTGCTGTGCCATGTGAGTGTAGCAGTGGCTGCTGTAGCTTGACAACACTGAGACTTTAACCCCTGCGCCACCAGGGAGGCCCCAGGATGACCTCTTTCAAAAAGGGATTTTGAGACCCTTCTTGTATCCTGACTGCAAATGGCTAGTTTGGGAGTCTTCGTCCACATTTTACATTCTTTTGGTTATCTGTAAGTCATTCACCTCCTAATCAGTTTCTGAGACTGCAGAGTAACCCATTCTTTTGTTTCAAAGCCTGAAAATGTTCTTTTACCTCCTGCAGTTTAAATTTCAGATTTCTCAGCTTGGTTTAAAAGATTCTTTGATTTGGTCTCTTTTAACTCTCATTGCATTCCTGCTGTGCTCAACTGTTCCAAATGTTCCAAACTTAGCTTACAAATTTGTGCCTCCATCCTCTTCCATAAGCTATTTGTCTTACTTGGAATTCACTCTGTCCTGTCTCTGTTCTGCTTAACACAAGCAACAGCTGAAGTCTTCTCTAATTAGCCTAGGGTAGAGTACTGACTTTTTGTGCCATTCCATGAAACTTGTTTCTAATTTTATCAGTGACTTGAGGTATATCTACCCTATCTCACTCTTTAAAGATCAAGACCATGTTTTATTCATTTCTGTATTCTCAGTGTACAGTAACTGGCATGTAAGAAGTGGTTTGATTAGTAGTTGTTGAATGAATAAGATAGTGTGGTATGGTCTACTTTAGAGTCATAAAGACCTGGGTTTGAATTCTGCTTCTGCCACCATATAATTTGTTCAGATCATCTAACGTCTTTGATTTTGTTTTCTCACATGCAAAATCTGGACAAGAGTGCTGACTTTACAGAGGAAATAATGCATAGCATGTAAAACATTTAGTTTAGTATCTAATGATAAAATGTTGGCATTATTAGTCATCAGATCAATCATCCATCCTTTCTCCTGTATTTCTCTTGTGCTCTCTCTTCCAATCAATTTGTAAGTATGTTTTTCTCTTACCATATCCTTTGAGATAATCCTTTTCTCTCTTGATGGTTCACACCCCAAGTTCTTGAATCTACTATCTCATGGAGTCTTTTCCCCCCCACAAACAAATGTGTATGTCTCAATCCATTGTTATTTAGTTTCACCTCCTTCCATCTATGTTGCTTTTTGCAAAGAGCAACAGTGATATTCTTGTTCTAAATCTAATGGCTGCCGCCTCCCTGGTGGTACAGGGGGTTGAGCACAGGGCTATGAAGCTGTCCACAATCTTTGCTGTATGAGTTTGATCCCTGGCCGGCCTGGGGAGTGTCCCACATGGTGTGGTGGACCTCTCCTGTCTCGCCCACTGCTCCCCTCAGCAGTGTGTTTCAGTACATTTGCCTGTTCTGCTCCCTTCTCTCTCTGGTGGGTCTTCTCACCACCCCCAACTCCCCCCTGCAGCGACTCTGGCCTGTACCCCACTTCTTAAAAAAAAATCTAATTGCTTTTCCATTTCTTTTTGCTTTTATTTGTAGACTATAACAAATTTATCATTATATGTATATTTATCTAATACCTGTTCTTTTTATTTATGTTTTTTAAGATTTGTTTATGCATAGAAGAACTGGGGTACAGGCCAGAGGTGCGGGGAGTGAGAGGATTCACCAGAGACAGAGTGGGGAACAGAACAGGCATACTGACTGAAATACATTGCTGAGGGGAGCAGCAGGCGAAGCAGGAGAGGTCTGCTGTGCCATGTGGGTAGCTCCCTGGCCAGCCAGCCAGGCAGGGGATTGAACTCAGGGGATCGAACTCATGCTAGAAAGGCTGTGGATAGCTTCACAGTGCTGTGCTTAAGCCCGTGAACCACCAAGGAGGCCCCACTATTCCTTTTATTAGAAGTAATTTTAATGACTGGAACCTCATCTGTTTTGTCCATCACTATATCCCTAAGTGTCTCTCATTGGGTCCAGGAGGCAGTACCAACCCAAACTTTTGAATTATGTTTGTGGCATTCTGGACAATCTAGAGTCCTTTATCATAGGTCAGAGGTATCACTGTTAATTTTAGAAGGTTCTCCATTTCAAAACAAAGCAAATGTACCCCAGTTCCTATCT